TCCTTTCCAGATGGACATACAGTAGCTAGCCTGCTCCGGATGAGAACCAAGAAGAAATGCAAGCTGGTGCTTGCAGACAGTCGACCTGATCACCAAAGATGGTAGCAAAATCCACAAGGTTTTCCAGTGTTCACAATGATTGTGCCAATAACTGTAGTTCAGAGCTCCAGAAGGGCTGGCATCCCATGGTGATCTGGAGATATTTGAAGTGGAAACTGCTGCCCACAACAAGACTGCGGGGTGTGGGGGGAAGATCTTAACTCTCAACACTGAGTTGGGGGTTTGCACACCAGGAGTGGGGAGCACAAGACTGGCACGGCATGCAGAGCTCAGGTGGATGCTGGAAGCAAGGATCCAGAGAGGCGGAGGCCTGGGGGGAGCACAGGAAATGGGGAGACCCCAACATACTCCTTCCCACATCTTGGAGAGGGGCATCTCCATCTGTCCAAAGGACTCTGCTGACTAGGAAGTACGGCACATCCATGCCTACAACTGACTTCTGTCAATTTGTATGTTGTCAGTGACACACCAAGTGCTTCAGGGATGGACACTAAGGCAGTGACTGCCCCAAAGCGCTCGGTTCAAAGGCCTTTCCTCACCCCTTCCCTGGTGCCCTCTCACCCCTCTGCCGCTGGCTCTGCAAGTAGCACAGTGTGCTCCTCACATGTACATTTCATCCTAAAGAAGCATGTTAGTATCTGCAATTCCTGTTGTACTCGAGCCATAAAGGAGAGAAGCACATCAGAGACCTGTTCAGCAGTTCTGAAAGTTCCCATTATGTTTTATAATGTGGAAGAGCTAATAAAAGAGCAGGCAAAACAACACTCTGCGCTAACGCAGGTCTGCAGAGGGAAGAGGTGAGCTCTGCAGGCTGCTGTGGGAGTGCTGAGATGGCCAACAGCTGAAGGTGTTCCGTGGCTCCCCATGGAGATGAGCAACCAGCTGGTGGCTGGGCAGCGTGGGGGGGAGCCGTGCTGCAGTGTGCATCACAGCCAGCAGCCTGTGCTGCGATGGCATGGGCTGTCAGCCATGAGGGGGGACAAGAATTGGGTAGAGAGAGGCCTGGAAGATTGCTGTTCAGGCTGTTCTGCCTGGAGGAAAAGCTTCAAATAAAATGTGTTCAAGGAAGATCTCCCTGCACACCTCTGGGTCCAGCTCCTGGTCCCTGCAGGACCATTCCCAACCTTTTCCATGTCTCATTCCTGCCCCTTCTTTAATTGGAGGCACAGGGGAAAGGACTGGGCTGGAGGACCAACAGAATTAAAGTGTTTTCCACTAATAGCCTGAATCTCTGATGAACTTGTAAAGAGGGGAAAAGGGGCCGAGCAAGCACATCCCTAAGGGAGGTATTATGCAAATGGAGAAATTAGTTGGAAACAGCCTGAAGGGAAACGTGGAAATTGAAATCTGAGGACCAGCACAGAGACTGCTGCTGAATAACTTATCACAGACGCCCAGCGTCTGCTGCAGCTGCTGGAGCACAAGCAGAAAGGCAGTGAGCACAGCAGTCAGGGAACAGGAGAGGTTCAGAAATGTGACTGAGCTAAGAAAAATTTTAAAAAAATCAAACCCAATCAGTAGGCACAGAAGAGATTATTCCCTCCTGTTCTCCCCCAGTACCCCTCGGCATCCTCAGCTCCATGGCAGAGTTCCATAGCTGTCCTGACCCCATGGGGCATTAATCTAAATTATGACACCTATTTGCAACTGAGCCTTCCCCACAGAGGCTGCAGGTTCTGCTGCAGGTTCTGCACCCCCAGCCCCAACCTACTGCATGGGCAGGATCCTGCAGCCCCCCAGGCCCACTGCTCAAAAATGCCCATCTCAGCACCGTGGTCCTACCAGCACCTCTAAACCTTGCCCTGGGCTGGTGACACCACAAGGCCAGAGAGGGCACAGTGCAGGGTGTCCATCTGCCCCACCTGTGTGTATGGGCAGACAGAGCCCCTTCCTAGGAGGAGCTGATCATCTTCGCAAAAATTGCCACTGCCACTCCATGTGTGTCCTCTGGGGATGGCAAAGAAGGAGCTGGAGGAAAACAAGCACAATCCATTCTTCTCCTCTTTTAACGGCACAGCCAGTGTTCTTCCTTCACATCAATTCAGTGTGGAAATAGCTAATTGAGATTGGATATGTTTTCTATTCCTGCTAAAAAAATAATCAAGGAAAACAATGCATCTCAGCACATCCCTGAGGCAGCCTCCCCTCTCCCCTTGTCTTCCCACAAACAGCCTGCAGCAGGGCACCCACAGCCATGCCACCTCTCTGTGACCTAGGGGAAGGTTTTCAGGAGAAAAGCCAATCAAGGGCCGCCACTGCAGCATCAACTCTGAGAGCAGGGTGCTCATTACCCCTCCTCCACCATCCTCAACACAGGAACTTGCCATGGGGCTGAGCTGTCCCACTCTGCTTCTGCCCCCATGTCCCCATCATGCCGAGGTGGGGGGATGCTTGGGAATGGTCGGGCAGCACTCTGCAGGACTCTCATGGAGTTCTTTTCCAAAACTCATGTTTTCCAGATGTTGATTGTGCTAAAACAATATAACACATCAGCATTCTTGTTGTGTAGCAAAGTAACAGCAGGGAATGCAGCATCTGGATTCTGGCTGAAAGGTACGGTACCGGGTACCACTGTCAAGCATAACTGGTCCAAAACAGCTATGATGGGTTTTAAAGGGTTACTAATATTGCAGAAGATCTGCATGTCCCAAGGACAAAGTCCTTAAGGAATAGCATGAGGATTGATCTTCTACCACATTTACATTAGCAAGTCAGCATAGGAAGGAGGGATGCACTGGTGACATTTGCTAATGAGACAAAATCAGGAGGATCTGGAAATACAGAATAGAAGTAAAACAACTCAGCAGACCAGAGCAGCAGTGCTGGGATGGGATTGAGCAGTGGGAAATGCAAAGGAGTTGAATGGAGATCCAGATAATCTCCTTTTCTCCTCATCTTGTCCTCCCTTCCCCACATACATTTTCTCAATAATTAATTGGTTTTGTGTTTGCCGGCTCGGATCTGAATGGCAGCACTGACTTCTCTGTCCTGTGGCTGCATGTCTTCCCAGTGGTTCCAGTGAGGCCCAGGAGCTGTTCATGCCCCCAGGAGCTGCAGGAGCCTGGGCAAGCAAAGCCCCACTGCAGGACTGCCTAAGGCAGCTCTGCTAATGGGAAGGTAAGGGGGACCACCGGGGATCCAGGAGCTTTTGTAAAGATCACTTCTATCACGAAAAACACATCTAGAAAGCCAACTGCTAACTAGCTGCAAGCTAAATTTCAAGACTGCTAATTTTTGAGCCCAGGGGAAGGACAGCTTCCAGGCGGAGACTACTGCCCACCACAGCCACAACAGCAGAGCTCCTGCACTGCCAAGGAATGGCACCCAGACCAGCTCTTCCCAGCTGCAGGCCATTACCGCTCATTAAGTCATTTGGAGTAGCATGGTTTATGAGGCAGACTTATTGCCCTGCTAACTGCCACACTTAACATCCCGGTTTAACAGGAGCACTCACCTTGTAACCCATTCAGTTTTACTGCAGGGATGATCTTCTGCCTCCATCAGCCAGCATCTGCCTTTGCTCCATCTGCTTGTGTTGTCACCAGGTGGGATGGTGCTCTTACCCACCTGAGGACAGGAGGGAATGGCAGGATGGCATCACTGTCCCCGTACTCCAAGCACCCCTGCCAAACTCTGGCCCTGGTAACATAGCTGTGACCCAGGCAGAGCCTCACTACCTCAGTCTGACACAGCATGACAGATGTGAACTGTGCATGGGCAGGGGCTGCTCCCCATAAGGTTTGTGGCCCCCAGCCTCTGCATTTCAATCTCCTTTTACTGTTTTCATTTCGACCTTGGCCTTGGTTGGTGCTTCAAGTGTCCACCTGCAAGGGATCTCAGTGACACTGGAACTAAACACCTCTCTGTGTCGGCAAAAGGAGAAATGTATTGCACAGCACATGGCAACACAGGGCAGAGCCACTAGGACTGCCTTGATTCATGTCCTACTGTCATTTAGGCATGAGAACAGCAGGTAGCCTGCAAGTTCCACCCCCCTACCACCATCATGCCATGCAAGAGCTGCTGTCTCAGCACCAGAGGGAGGGAGGTATCTGTGAAGGCTGCTGGAAAAAGAACAGAAGGTGTCTGCCTTTAGCAGCACAGCTTGCAGCCCCCTGCAAAGGGAAAGCTCAGTGCTGACTGCTGAAGAATCACCTTGGTCCCACTTTGTGATACTAAAGCATGGAATACCCCCCATCTTCCCACTGTGTAACATGTATATGTGCACATGTAAAACTCTTGGAAGAATGTTATTTTTACATGACTCCCCATCCAGGCACCCAGCTAAGGACAAAGAAAGCATAATACCTGGATCTCCTCAAGCATTTTGCAAGAAAATAGTAGATTACTGAGCAGCAGCCTGATGCAAGGTGTGCAAAAATCCCCTTTTGAGAGGAGTCAGACAATGGTAACAAAGATGAACCATCCCTCCACTCTGCGGAGGGCTGGGAAGTCCCCACAGGCTCTCCTGCTCTCCCCCAGCAAATACACAGTATGCTGGATGTAAATCCCAGCCCCATCCCTGCTGCTGTCCACAGCTCAGAGCCCCCTGAGGGACCTGAGCTTGGTGGTCACACAAACCATCCTTTGTCCCCTAGGTTCAGTAGAATGAAGGCACAGCTTTGCTCTAGAGGCCTTGTGCACCTTCACAGCTTACTGCTGCCATGGAGAGCAGTTACCTCGAGTCCCCAGCAGTTCAGAGACACAGATAATCATTCTAGAGTAATTACCAGCTTACTCCCTTGGAGGAGTTCACTGGTGAGAAATCACTGGCAGCTAATTACTCCAATTACTTCCTGACACACAGAGCTCAGAGCTCTCTGCAGTGGCACCAAGCATTGCTCAGCATCTCCCTGCACCCCAGTGCAGGGGCCTTCCCACAGTGCATGGCTCTTCCCGCAGCACCCACCACCCCCAGATCCCTCCTATGAGACCACACACAGTATTCATTCTCCTCACAAAGAACATTTTCTAGGGGTGTATCAATGGTGGTGAGATCCTGCTGGCGCTCAGCACTGTTCCATCACATCACTAGGGCTTCCTAAGGGTGCCCACAGGACCATTCTGATCCCTCATGCACAAGGGAAGAACCACACAGGACTGGGAATGGAAGTTTTTATTGCTTTTAATTCTTACAATTTGGGTGTGCACAGCCATGACTGCCACAGGCATGCTGTAAAGTGACAGCCACGCCACACTGGACTTGTAGCATGATTCAGGGAAAGCAAAGACTTAGGGCCTGCAGCACCTGGTCTCTGCCCTACAGCAGGCAGACACCTTCACACAGGCACTAGGGAAGAGACACAGAGGATAAGGCAGCTCTGAGAGAGTTAAGGACCACAAAAGAGGTAATTGCTACAAGACCAGAAAAGTCCTGTCAAGATGCTTCAGTGCCTACAAAAGATGCCAGCTTCTGGCTTGCTAAGGGAGCCCAACATGTTCCCAGCATAGATTGCATCAGGGACACAAAACAACCCCCCCTCCCCTCTACCTGCCTCTGTTTCCTCTAGGGGAAATCAGGGCAGCCAGGACAAGTATTAAAAGCCACAAAGCCCAAGCAGCATCATATAAAGCCTTCAACCTCCTTAACAAGGAGGAGCACAGATCAGAGATTTATACTTCAGTGCTGAGCACTCCTCCAGCCCCTCCTTCTCACCGAGGGGATGCTGGGCACCTCTATGCTGAGTTCTGCATGTCCCCATCACTCCTCCACACAAATTCCCAGGACAGAGAGGCCTTCAAACCCTCTACCTCAAGTATACACTGGAAGCCTGACAGAATCCTATGACCCCTACTTGATCCCTGAGTGCAAAGAAGGCAAAACCCTTCTGCCCCTCTCCTTTGGGGCAGTCAGTACCTGCCTCCCACTCCTTCCATCTCCAGGAGCGGGCACTGCGTAGGCATTCTCATACCTGATTCAATCACATAGAAAAAAAAAAAAAAAAAAAAAAAAAAAAAAAAGAGACTACAAACAGAAAAAAACAAACCAAAAGTTTGACCTGGGCCCTGGCTTGGACACCCCACCAGCAGGTCATAGGGCACATCAATGGAGAACCACAGCCAGGTGGACCTCATGCATCCACAAGGGTCAGCCCATCATGCAGGGCACGCTTCCACATGTAGTAGGTGGAGCGGGCTGTGAGGGGGAAGCGGGCACTGAACTCCTTGTAGGTGGGGAAGGTCTTCGACTCAAAGCGCTGCTGCAGGAACAGCTTGGCTTGTGCCTTGAACTGGGTGGTGGCAATCACATCCATCACAAACATCTGACTGTTGGCTCTCTCTGACACAGGGTAGCCTGAAATGGTGGCATTGTACGGAGTGGCTGGTGCTGACTTGTCCAGATGCTTGGTTGCTACCTCCATGTGGAGCTGGGGCTTGACACTTGGCTCAGATCTCTGCAGTGCCAGGGAAGTAATCCTGTTCAAAGGCCGATTGGAGCTGCAAAGGCGATGCTGCCCAGATGCTCGGCTGCTACCCTTCCAAAACCAGTAGGTTGTGGAGGAGAGTGTTGGATAGCGTAGGCAAAACTTGCTGAATGGCAGCTGCCACTGCTGGACCTGTCTCCGGGCCACATCTCGCAGCCGCTTCCTCCAGCACAGAGAGGGCTTGAGCTGCAGGAGACTCCTGGCTGCCGGCTGATCTCCATTCAGCTTCTTCCTAGCAGGCAAGCTGCTTGGTTTCAGCTGCAGAAGTGGCTTTTCCATGGGTAGAGGTTTCTGGTTATTCAAGGGAGGCTGGGGAGGTTTGAAGTTGGGGTTCTCTTTGATTGCTTTTCTTCGCCAATTGTAGTAAGTGGACCTGGAGATGCCGGGGAAGCTGTGCTTGAAGCACCTGTAAGGCACCAGAGTGTTCATGGAGATGCATTTCTCCAGGTAAGATTTGGCTCCTCGCATGAAGATCCCTGCTTGGACTGGGTCTAGGGAAGGACTCGGGGGCCTTAAACTTGCCTCTGCCTTTGTTGGCTCATTAACATCAGCCTTCTTTGGAACCTCCCTGTGAAGCTCCCGCAACCCATGGGCCTCAGTCAGATCAGAGGTATCACCATTGACCATGCTCTGCATCTCATGCTTCCAGGCATAATATGTGGATCGGGAGATTTCCGGAAACATTTGTCGGAAGTGCTGGAGCGGGACAACGTTGCCCTCTTGAAAGCAGGACTGGAGGAAGTGTTTAGCTGCAAACCTGGCAGCCGCTTTCTGCCGGTGTTCCCGAGACTGGCGCTTCCAGCGGTAGAAGGTGCTCTTGGTGATGCTGTACCTGTCACGCAGGTTGGAGTAGGTCAGCTGGGGGTCACTATTCAGCAGCTCCAGAGTCTTCATGGGCTGGACAGGAGGCTCTGATGAAGGTATGGTAGGTTCCAGCTCCTCCAGACCAACTACAGCCACAAAGTACTGTGCTTTGAAGACCTGCCTGGAGAGCTGCTGCCCTGACCACATGATGTGGAGAGTGGAGGTCTGAGGGCCACACTTCCTGGGCCGGATGAGCCGGTTGAAATATGGCCGGATCTTCAGGTTGCTCATGGGATAGATTGAGTAGATGTTACACTGCAGCACTGAGGCAAGAGCATAGACATGCCACATATTGGCAAAGGTGCCAGGAAAGCAGGTAGCTTTGATATCTGCATCGAAGATAGCCTCCAGGATAGCCATGGGGAGGCTGGTCATCTCTGGTGTCTCCTCCGTGCAGAGTGAGTAGCGGGCAGCCTGCAGCATCACCTTGGAGTCAATCATGCCACTCAGGTAGTACTGCTTGTGCAGCAGCATCTCCACCACTGTGCGCACCTGCAGCTCCAGGCTGAGGCTGGGGTTGCCCCAGAGCAGTACACTGGCTGCCTCAAAGAGGCGGTTCCCCTCACCTTTGCAAACCAGAGGCAGCATGTTACTTGGAGCATCCTCTGGGTACAGGCTCCTGGCTACTCGATCAACTTCTAGCTCCTCTTGAAATTGCCTCCTGCAATAGCCAGGCAGGGAGAAAGATGAGAGGGTCCTCTCTGCCTCCAGTGCAGCACTGGCAAGGCCCTCCAGACCAAAGCATTCGGTGGCTTCCTGCAGCTCCTGCAGCACAGACTGCACCAGCTGGTGCCGCTGGATCATCCTGAAGGACAGCAGAAAAGCAGAAGTCACTTGAGATCTAGGCAGGACACGCTCCAGACTGACAGGGCCAGCTCTTCCCTGAAGGTTAGGAAAGGGGAAGAGTATAGAGGAAAGGTCCCTGTTCTCCCCACACCCACAATCCCCCCCAAGGAGAAAGGACAAAGCCTAGCCCTACAGGCAGACCTGGGACAGGGACGTGGACTCTGCCTGCTCTCCAGTGACCTCCTGTGGGCAGCAGGAATGGCACACGGCCTCCAGAGATGCATGCCTGAGATGGACAGTGAAACTGAGGACTGACTGTATCCACTGGGGAAGGAGATGGGGCACTCCTTGCCCTGCACAGCAGGCTTCGTACCCGGCCTCACACCTGCAGCTTGGACCCTGCTGCCAGTGTCTACAGTCAGCAATGAGAAAATCTTGGAGGTAAAGCATTTGTCATCTCATCAGGGACAGAGCAATGCTGTACAGGGGCACAGAGGGACCAGACTACAAAGTGTTCAGCCCAGTAGAAGGTACAGAGTTTGCTCCCTCCCTCGAAGCAAGGCTCTGCTTCTGCAACCATCTCATGCAACTAAAAGTCACCACAAAACCTGAGATGGGAGAAGCAGCTGAAGCCAATGCAGGCATGGTTACTACTGCCTGAGCTGACACTAGGTGTCACTTGCTGCTCAGCAGAGAAACACTGTCAGCCGAGGCAAAGGAGCAAAAGGAACCCTAACAGTTAGGAGGCAGCACAGAAGAGTAGATGGGGCAATAGCTGAGTGGGCAGCTTAGAGGCTGTGTTGAGTCCTCTTCCTCCTTCCAGTTTCAGCAAGCCCCAGTCCTGTGAGCCACTTTTCACTCAAGCAATCCAAGTAGTCAAACTAGCATCCCCTGCTTTGTTAGTGCTCCTAACACCTGCATGGTTCTGCTTCTGCCACTCCCGGAGTTCCCAGTGGGCTACACACTTTACCCCACAATCCAGCCCTTTCAGTACATCCCTTTCCAGCACTGTTTTGCCAACAGCCAGCCTCTCACAGCCCCTCACTCTGCCTACCCCCATTTGCCCACAGTTCACAACACTTCCTCAGAGCAGCCCATTCTGGTCCATTTTCTCCTCATGCATAGCCCTGCTCATTCACGTGACACCCCCCACATATCAGGCATCACTTTGTAGTCTGCCTCATTCCTATCCCAGCTGGAGACTCACCTTCCCACAGCACTTCAGAGGTATCGTTATGCACTCTCAACTCTGCAGGGAGATGGCAAAACAGCAGTGCCAGGCAGGAAAGGCAGCAGTCCTGGAGCAAAGCAGATGTCCTGCCTGACCTTTCCCTATTCTCAGTCCTGTTACTACAGTATCTACAGCCTGGTCACAATCAAACAGCAAGTAGAACAAGGTGCCACATATCACACTGCTATACCCGAGCTGCTTCACCCCAGGGAGCCTCTGTGCTGCTGTTGACCCTTCCCTTAACCAAGTCAGCTCCCCTCCCTGCCTTCAGATCCTCCACATCTCTTGCATGATGGAGGTCAGCTGTGGGGAATCACCCAACAGAGTCAACACAGGAGACAGCACACAGTTAAGAAAGGCACAGACTTGCCCTCAAAATCCTCAGTCCAAGTCAGTATGGGGTTGTCTGCTGGGTCTGGCTGGGATGGAGTTAATTTTGTGCACAGCAGCTCCTGTGGTGCTATTTTACATTTGTAACCAACACAATGCTGATGACACACTGAAGTTTTAACTATTGCTAAAGAGTGTTTGCAGAGCATCTAGCCCTTCTGTTTCTCACTCTGTCCCTCCAGTGAAGAGCAGAGGTGACCCTTGGTACAGTCAGACAAGGAGGGCCACAGCACACCCAAGCTCTCATTCTCCATGGCCACATTGCCCTACAGCCTCCAGGAGAGCTGAGCGAGGTGAGACAAGTTTTTCCCTGGCAGGAATGAGAAACCAGCACAGGCTAGAAAGCACCAGGCATACACCTGGTCCTTATGGCCTGGTGGCCATTTCCCATTCCCTTACAGCTTGAGGGGTGAAAATAGAAGCATGGAATTAAATCATTTTAAGTAATACTCCACAATCTCAATGTCACTGCCAGCTTCTGCTGCCTGGAGCTGGAGCAGCAGGATCTCACAGGCACGCCTAACGCAAGAGCCACAGCTCAAGCATCACAGATAAGCTCTGAGCTAGCATGCAAGGGGCCAGGCAAGGCAGCAGCAGAGGATGTACAGTAGCCAGGGTAAACTCCTTCACTCTCAGCATGGAGGAGCTGCTGTTTAGTGAGGGTTTTCCCCTTTTTCTCCTGCTGAACACAACAGACAAGCACTTCCCAAACCATCCTAACTCCAAGAACCAAGCAAGGGAGCTTTTCCCTGCTGATAAAGGAGGCTTTAACTAACCTGGCCTCTTTTGCATTGTAACAGATAAGCAAGCACTTGTAGATCACATTCCCTCACCTAAACCGATGGGCTGGTGGCATCCAGTAGTGCAAGTTCCCCAAGCCAGCCCCAATACGCTCCCACCAGCAGGAATCCAGGAGACTGAGACCAGCAGCACCCAGCAGGGCCGTGCTGGAGCCCCATCAGCTCAGAGTTCCTTCTGAGCTCCAGCTGCAGCCTCAGGCTACCATAGCAGCAAGGGCTTCCACCAGAGTCCAGCGAGAGAAGCCTGCTCCTAGCACTCACATTCCCACCTCTAGGAAAGAGGTAACACTTGAAGAGCAAGAGGGGAAAAAAAAAATACAAGAAGAAAAACAAACAAACAAAAAACCCACTGGTACTAACCCAGGCCACAGCATCACAACTACATCTGCCCAGGGACATTTCCTTAGGAAGGGAAACTTATGCCCGAGCAGCACCTGACAACAGGCACAGCCCTGCTCCGCGGACACACACGTGGGCAGCTCCGCGGCCACCCGGGGCTCTCCCACAGAGCAGCAGCACCGGGCGCGGCCCCGCGGCGCGACCGGAGCGGAGCTCCGTGCCCAGCGGGCCAAGTTACAGCCCGCCCTGTCGCCCGGGGGACAAAGGGACGCGCAGCCACGGGGGATGAGAGCCGCCGAGCCCCGCCGGGAGCAGCCCAGAGGGACGGGACGGCTCTGCGGAGCACCGCGCTGGAGAGGAAGGGAGGCCGAGAAAGCGGCGGCGGCCGCCGTCGGGGCAACCCCGACCACACTCACCTGGCTCCACGGGTCGCACCCCACCCGTGCCCTCCGCCGCTCCGCACCTTTAAGGGCGGCGGCAGGAAGCGGCGCGGAGCCGCCGCCGCGGCCCCGGTGCCAGCCCCGCAGTGACCCTCGGGAGCGGGCGGCCGCGTGCGGCGCCGGGCCGGGTCGGGCCGGGCCGCCCCTCCCCGCCGGGCTCGGCTGGGCTCGGCTCCCCTCCCCCGCCAGGAAGCGGGCCATCCCCGCCGCCCCGGCCCAGATGAAAGCGGAGCGGGACGGGGGTCACTTCCAAAGCTAAAGTGATAATGGCCATTGTCCTGCCGCCGCCGCGCTTAAAGGGCCCGCGGCGCCCGCCTCTACAGCAGCCTGCTCGGAGCACCCCAGGATGCTGCGGCACCCACCGCCACCCGTGCCCCACGGTGTCCTGCTGTCCCGCAGCAACCTTGGATGGCTGTAGCGCAGCTGTGCACTTGGGTTGCTGATGTCTGCCCGGCCCTTGTGCTCGGCGTGGTGAAGGCATGTGCCACTGCATGGGTGCCAGGTCTGGAGCAGACAACGCTGTGGCCATTGGACACGTGTCCAAACCTGAGACCACTAGATCTATGAGGGCCCCAGAACGTTCTAGTTTGTCTGCAGGAGGCACCCAGATGACAGCAGCCCTTTTCTTGACCTCACCTCCCATCCACGTTTGTGCCACCCACCTGGGTCAGCCTTCCTTCCTACTATCTCTGTCCTGCTGCCTAATCTCTGGCCCTGGGTCCCCCTCCTTAACTCCCATACAGACAATGGGTCCATCTGGGGCATCATGTGAGGCTGTGCAAACAGAGCGTGCGCCAGGCACGTCTCTCCAGCATCTCTAAGCTTCCAAACTCAGTTCCACCCTGTGTCTTCCTTGCAAGCTCTGAGCACCCAGAGAAAGGTCCTCCAGGACCTTTCTCTTCCCAAGCTCTCCCTACCCAAACCCTTGCCTATTCCAAAGTTCCAGCTGAGCCCTGGGCCTCCCACCGCCCACTGAACCACTCACTCCGGAGATCTCCTGACTTCTCCTAGTCACCACCCTGGGACATGCTGGTGAGGAATGAGCAGTATGGAGACTCAGGGGTATGGAAACTGCTGCTGGCTGCAGTCACCAAGGGTTTACAGTCCCAGCCAGTGAGTTGGCCAATGGCTTGGCCACCGTCCAAATCCCAGGGCTGGGGCAGCTCAGAAATATTCCTACTCATCCAATCTTAGGAATGCTTTTCCTTCAGAGCAAGACCTACCTCAAAACAGGGCCCCCAGAAGCTGGTCTGCTCCTGGGTGTGGGGGCTCAGTGCATTTTAACAGGGGGGAGGCACAACTTTGCCCACAGGGACTGGTCATCAGGCTCCTCACCAATTGGTCTCAGTGCTTCATCATCCTGCACCTACCCTGTGAACTCTGGCTGTAGGCAGCATCTGGCCTCTCCACCCCAGCCTTGGGGAAAAGCCTGGGCCACAATACAGTCCCCTCTTGCAGTGAGTGGCCTGAAATCATCCCTGATGTCAGACACACCATGAGATTACTGCCCTGTGCACAGCCACCAGCAGGGAACTTCACTTTAGACACTCATTCTGCTGCAATGTTTGACAATAAGAGGACTGGTGGGGACCCCAGTGATGAGATTCTTGTGCACTTTGGGGAGGAAACCAAACAAGGACCTTTCACACAGGAGAAGTGCATCCTGTTCCCTCTCCAGATGGGGCTGAATGTAGCCTGCTGCCCTCTCTCCCATCTTAGTTGAGGACACAGCATCGCAGGATAAATCACAGTACCCCTCTGCTGAGTTGCTTTCCACCTCCCCAGCAGTGCATACTCCAGAGCACTTTTCCCACTTCTCTTGTCTCACCTCCCGGCCCAGCATTGCAGGGGGAGGCTGGGTAAGGAGTTTGACAAGAAGATCGGGCTGGGCTCACTGCAAGCTGCGGACTGGCCCTGCTCTCTGCCACTTGTGTTTTCAGCCCCAGCCAGGAGCCAACTACTGGCTGACAGTGAACCCTGGGGCTCAGTGCTCACTGACAGCCCTTGTACTGTACACAGAACAATTGCACTGCAAGAAAGACAGACCAAAACTCTTCTCTGGTGAACTTTCCTGCCCCCCTCAGGAGGGAAAAGCCAGCTCCAGTCTTGCTATCAACCTGGCAAATCCTGGACGTGTTCCGGAGCAGGCCAATGTTCACAGCCCCAGCTGCTCAGCTCCCCTTCTCATCCTTCATCCTTTTAACTTCTTCGATTGCAAATGCAAAGCGGTGCTCACAGGGCAGTGAGACACTGGTAAATGCCAGAGTCAGCAGGGTCAGTGATTAACATAGGAGCTGGAAAACACACAAAGAAACAGCCTGGGCAGTTCTGTTATGCAGATCACTGCACACACCAGCTTCCAGCATATAAACAAGTAGTTAGCATTTTTCTGTTCCTTGGAAGAGTTCAGTGGGGGACCAGTGCACTCCTCGCTTTGGTGCAGGATGCTTCAGTATGACAGTGGGTCACGGAGACCTTCACAGTTCAGGTGTGGTTGTCAGATACTTCTCCGCCTGTTGTGCTTTAACTTGTCCCCCACTGCCCTTCCACTCAGAGCAAAGGCGCCTACATCCAGCTCTGCTTGGAACTTGGTGCTTTGGGCACAGACATCCAGCAGCACTGGAAGGCAGGTTTTACTGCTCCAGGTTTGGGGGAGTCCTCTCTCTAGTCAAGAGCAACCTCCATGATCAGTAAATACAATTTCCATTGACTTCAACCCAGTTAGAAGAGATGTCCCACGGACATGGTGCTGGATTCCTGTGCGACGTGGGACTTTCCCTGTCACTAGAATGCAACCATCCAATGGGACGACGCATGGAGACAATACTCACACAGTCAGCTATCCCCCCAGTAGCAAAACACCCCAAAACCACCTTCACTCTCACCTAGGGAACCTACAGGAGTGGAGGGAATCAGAACTCCCTACTCACTCCCCATGACTGAACCAATTCAGATGGGATGGGAAGTGATTAAAACATCTGCCACAGCCAAATGGCATTCAGAGCAGATCAGACTGTGGACTGGTTGCCAAAACCAGCTCTGGAATTGAAACAGGTTGTCCTAAATGAGATAAACTGACATGCCCATCCCTTCAAAAGCATCGCTGACGCCCTGGCTTCTGTTTTATTTTTCCCCCTATCTTTTTCTCTCCAAAGCGCTGCAGAGACTGAATATGAGTACTGACATCCCTCTGAGAAATAAGGGGAGCTGGGACTGCTGAGAGGCTGGCAGGACTGAGGAAGAGCATAGAGGGCTTTCAGGTGGATTCCAAGAAACCCTTGGCTGGGTTTCTCCATGAGGAGACAGCAATGAGCAGAGCTTGCAGCCCGAGCAGGCAACAGAAGTACGATCACTGTAGCTGCAGTCTGCCCACTGATCTTAGGGTGAAGGAATGTCAAGTTGCATGTGGTTCTGGTCTGATTGTGCCCAATGATTCAATGGATGGAACATCACTCTTTCAAGGACAGGCTGAGGCTGCTTGGGCTGTTCAGCCTGGAGAAGAGAAGGCTCTGAGATGGCCTGATAGCAATCTTTCAGCATCTTAAAGGGGAGCTACAAGAAAGAAGGGGACAGACTCTTTTGCAGGGTCTGTGTTGATAGGACGAGGGGAAATGCTTTCAAACCTAGAGAGGGGACATTTAGGTTAGATAGAAGGAAGAAGTTTTCTATGGTGAGGGTTGTGAGACACTGGAACAGGTTGCCCAGAGAGGTGGTGGAAGCCCCATTCCTGGACACAGTCAAGGCCAGGCTGGATGGGGCTCTGAGCAACCTGGTCTGGTAGGTATTCCAGTTTATTGCAGGAGAGTTGGATCAGATGACCTTTAAAGGTCCCTTCCAACTCTAAGGATTTAGGATTTAGGATTTCATGCCTCTGCTGTAGCCATTAACAAAACTCTCAGGTAGACTGAATGGTGGGTTCTGTGGAGAGGCTATGTGGGGAGATCCTTGCTCATTTCTATGCCTTCTTCCTCATGATGTTGGATGCCTGGCTGACAGGTATGTTCAGTTCTGCACTGGAAAGGAAAGCAGCAAACTATAGGGAGTTTTCAACCAGAAGCAAGGGAGCTGGTGTGATTGAATTATAGGAGACAATGTGAGGAGCAAAACCTATTTAGTGGTGCTGAAGTGAGAAGTGGCAGGAAGGGACAGCCCAGCATGTCAATCTCAGATGCTAGAAGGAATTAATGGGGATGACCTCAGCTGTATGACTGAGGATAGAGGAATGGGACAGAAGACAGAAGAATTTGGCCTGAACATTAGGAAAGCTTGGTGGCAACCAGGAGTTTGATCTCCCTCAGGGCAGCCGGGAGTTGGTCTGGGCATTAGATCCTATCCTGAACAAGGAAGCACCTAAGGCTCCTCCACATGCTGCTGCCCACCACTGCCTCCACAGTGACTCAGAGCTCTGCAGTGACTCAGAGCTCAGTGTCATTTCCCATCACTCACGTGAAACCCAGCACACCTTAGTGCTACTTCTATCCTGTTCCATGCAGATCAGTCAGCTCCCCACTGCTGTTTTCCTCCCTCATTCTTTTGTGGTACCAGGGGGCCTTAGTGCTGTCCTCAAGGGGGACACAGAGCATCCTGTCCCTCTGCTAGTGGTGGCTGCCTCCAGTTCACCTTCTGAGCAATGTTCAGGGTGGATGCCCTGGGCTAGCCCCAAAACTAGGTCCCATCTCTGATCATCCTCTGCTCAGCTCTGGGTTCTTTTCCCTTTTCCAGATAGGTTTCATCTTCTCAGAAGGAAAGTTTGAACTTGGTACTGGTGCCATGCCCTTGCTGCCTGAGGCACCGCACTCCTTCTAGGGTGGGAGGAACATCCCCGTGGAACAACAAGCAGTGCTCAGCACCAGTGAACAGCAGGAGCCACAGCCGCATCCTGGGGTCCTGGTAATGGGTGGGAGAGGGGGGAGAGCTGGGAACCTCTGAAGATTCAAAGTCAAGATCAAAGCGTTTCCCTCTGAAGCCCTAACACTCTCCTTCCCTCCCA